GAATCTTTGTTTAAAAAAATAATACAAAATGTTAAGGAAACGATTTTTTTTTTAAAAAGATGGACAGACGTGTATTTTCCTCCTCTTGCCTTTAATACTTCTCGAAGACCCCTCGGCATACTTTCTACCAGTCTGGAAAAATCTCTTTGCTGGAGGTTAGCCCATTCTTCACGAAGAGTCCTTTCAAGATCGTGGAGTGTATCAGGGAAATGATGGACATGCTCTTCGTCTTTTGAGGTTATCCCATAATTGTTGGAAGGAGTTCAAGCCTGGAGAACGGGCTGGCCGGGCTAAGATCGTGATGTTATGATGTTGAAGGGTTGCCCTATGCTAGTGACATGTGGTCGGTGTATTATCGTGCATTAGGATAGGATTGTCGCTGATTTCATCGAGGAAAGGGCAACCCATGAAACGCAAAATTTCATCCGCATAAGGATTGGCCGTCAAAGACCCTCCAAGAACAACAACCAACTCTGTGCGACCCTCCGTTGAAATTTCTGCCCACACCATCTCTGAGCTACGTTGAAAACGTTGGTCTGGGGAAAATTCCAAGCTTCGTACTTGTCATTTCGCCTTCTACACACTCTTTCACACCCATCTGTGTCAGTAGAACAAATCTACACTCTTCAGTAAAAAGTACAGCAGTCCAATTGTCCAAAGATCAATGGCTGTGTTCTCGACCAAACGCGAGCCGTGCAACTCAGTTTTCTGGTCAATTCTGGTCCTCTTACGGGGCGAACAGCCATCATACTTTACTGATTTAATCTTCTTCGAACAGTGCGTTCAGAAATTTGGACACCTCGAACTTCCTTGGGCTGAAGAATCGCTTGATCACAGTAAGGTGCCGGTTTTGAAAATTCTCAACCTCAAAACACTGACATCCTCTGGTTCTGTTACCCTAGGCCGTCCAGTAACGAGCATTCTATGGTAGAACCCAGTTTCTCGAAAAAGTCTAACGGCGTCTAGCAGAATTTCGTAGGGGAACTCCGATGGCAATAGCAGCATACCTGATATTACGTCCATCATCAATAAGTGCCACACGCCGCGCAACATCCTCTCCTATCCTTGCAACATACGACCAACAGCACTAAGTGGCATTTTTAAGTTTAAAAATTGAAATGAAGAAAACAAAATGAAAACTAAACAGTTTTTGTTTTTGTTTAAAAAAACATTTTAAATTCCGTAAAACGTAAACGTGAAAAATCCTTTATCCTTGTTTTTTATTAAGGATTATGTATGTTTACCTTCAATTGATATTCCCAGTTTAAAACAGCAAAAACGAATATTTATTGGTAAGAACAATGAGACAAATTAAGGGCGGAATTTTCTTTTATCAAGAAAATGAAAAAAAAATCAATTGGGTGGAATTTGTTGCCTGTCAGTGTATATTTCAACCACTATTTTGTGTCGATACTTCTATACCGGTTAGTTGTAAGTTCAACTTTGTTCGACACTTATCGCAAAAGTTGAACATTCGTCTACTTTTCTGCCATTGAAGTAAATGTCGGTTAAACATAACTGACAAAAAAGAGTAGTGTCTAAAACAAAATTAAAATTACAATTTTTATTTAATAATAATACCTACTTACTAGATGCTAAAAATCGCAAAGCTACAGCAAGTAGTTCTGTTATATTAATAGTTTTTCTCAATTTTGTATCTTGCTTTGTAATATGGGGACAGATTATACAGATATATAAAGTAAGCTTTTCAAAATCAACCGGTTTCGTTCTCCAAAAATTCGAAAACTGAACTGGATCCTGAATACTGAGCGCAGACATCAGAATTGATTGTAGGCACCGAGTTTTTCACGTCTCAAAACTCACTCTTGGACATATATAGAATGTTTCTTCTTCATTTTTATCTTTAGAATAATTAAACAGACCGCAATTTTGCGTTTCGATGCTTTCATTATGTCAAGATAAAATCAACTGGGTGCAGAATGAAAGACAACAAGTACATCGGACACAAGTATACTCAAAAATGTATGTAAACGTGTAGTTTATTTATTCTAAGTCCACTACAGTTCGTGGTTCGATTGACCAATTAACTTTTTTCAATTAATTAATATTTATTTATGAACGGTATTGGTCGAAGTCACGATAGCTCAGTGGTAGAGCGGCGGCATATTTAGCCGAAGGTCGTGGGTTCGAATCCCGCTCGTGGCACTGACTTTTTTATCTCGACCAATATCTTTCATAAATTTAATTATTCAGAAATCGTGAGATGCTGTCTGGTGTGATGTAGGTTTCAGAAAAACATTTTCTTTATCGTGCCAACGTTTCGATCTTTATTGAGATCATCTTCAGGGCTCAAAGTGTTTGTCTTCTGTGTAATTGTGCCATTCTTGCGTGTCGTGTTCAGAGTGCCACACAGAAGTCAAACACTTTGAGCCCTGAAGATGATCTCAATAAAGATCGAAACGTTGGCACGATAAAGAAAATTTTTTCTGAAACCTACATCACACCAGACCGCATCTCACGATTTCTGAATAATTATAGATTAACGGTCACTAATCACCACACACCTTTCATAAATATTAATTAATTGAAAAAGGTTAATTGGTCAATCGGACCACGAACTGTAATGGATTTCATAATTAAACTGAAGTATATCTTCACTAAAGCTCTCCGTGGCCATTTCATTTGTCGCCGAGAAGCAAATAGATTACACGACATTTGAAAAATGGCAAAAAGGAGGGAAAATTCGTGAGTTGAGAAGATGGAGAGTTGGTGTCCGAGAGGATCGAGGTCACGATAGCTCAAGTGGTAGAACAGCGGCGTATTTAGCCGAAGGTCGTGGGTTCGAATCCCGCTCGTGGCACTGACTTTTTTATCTCGACCAATGCCTTTCATGAATATTAATTTATTCTAAGTTTTACGTTTTGCGAGCTGTTACGAGTAAATTTCTAGTAATTTCTATCGGTATGTAAACAGTATGCAAATTTTCTGTCTGACAATCGACATATATTTCCGGACAAAAGTGTAAGATGTAAACCTTTATACAATACTTTGTTCGATACTTAAAATTATCAGCAAACGCCTTACATCGATTCGTTAGACTGGGCTGAAACGAAAAGGACTATATAAAATTTTCCATGATCAAAACTACAACAAACTACTCAAATATAAGGCTCCGTCAGGGCAACCGACCCTCAGTTGAACCCAATCATACAGAACAAAACCCTCCCATAATCCCTTATGTTTCCCACCCATAAAATCCCTACGTAATAAATTACCTATCCCTACTTCCTCACTAAATACGTAGATGATATATTGACAGCAGTTCCCACAGATCAAATTCAAACTACATTAGTTACATTTAATAGCTTTCACCCACGCCTACAATTTACACATGAAATCGAAAACAAACAAAAAATACCACTCGTAATAAAACAACAAGATGGCACATTAATCACAGATTGGTATCAAAAACCAAGAAACACAGATCGCTACCTCAACTTTAAATCTCACCATCCTCTTCATACAATAATAAACACGGCCAAAGGGTTACTTCACAGAATATTACCTTAAGCCATGAATCCTTCCACCACAAAAACATAAAGATGTACAAACAGATCCTCCATAACAATCTCTACCCTAAACATATAATTAACAGAATAATCAACAACTACAGCTCAACACTAACACCATCCACTATTACTAATAATTCTACATTAAGGCTATCGAATACAAACAAACCAGCATACATTTCCATACCATTTATCCAAGGCCTATCACATAAATTAAACAAATTTCCCTTGTCCGAAACTTCAACATAGATTTCAAAAATTATAAAACAATCAAACACTTTTTTCCAAAATTAAAGATCCCACACCAATAACAAATAAATGACGTAATCTACAAAATCAACTGTTTAAACTGTCCGGCAACTTACATCGGTCTTACGTCCCAATATCTGGACAAGAGAGTAAAGCAACATATCTATAATTGCAAAAAAACCAAGCAAAATCCTACAGCACTCACTATCCACCATTTTGAACACAAACACAATTTCGACTTCAACAATCCAAAAATATTACACACAGAACAAAACAAGCGTAAACGTAATTTTTTAGAAATGGTTTACATCAACAGAGATAAGCACAGCATCAATTACAGAAAAGATACATGTAAACTCAGTCGCAGCTACGCCAATATCATTAATCAAATTCAATATAGATAACATATCATCACATCAAATAATTACACATCATTATCATCACATTACATTCCACACATCAAATATTTTTCACATAGTCTAATTTTCCAACAATTTAGCTTTCCTTCTCCTATTTATCCCTTTCTATATAATCCTGAAAAGATAATCTGGCCGAACCATTACCAACGTTTTTTTCCTTCGTCGGCTCTTTTCACCTCAAAGAAGCCGACGCCTTATACAAAAATGTCTTTTCTATACAGACTTCCTTCCCCACCCCTTCAAAATCCAACGTATATAAACATAACACAGCAACATCGCACTGGCACTCTCAACACGATACGCAAGAATGGCACAAAGACAAACACTTTGAGTGAGTAGAAATACTTTGATTGAATATATAAAAAAATAAGATTATATATATATTTTCATTGTATAACTTCACTTTTTTCCACATCTAAATGTATTTGTCAAATGTAAACAATGTTTGTAAATCCAGTGAATATGATCTCAATAAAGATCGAAACGTTGGCACGATAAAGAAAATGTTTTTCTGAAACCTACATCACACCAGACCGCATCTCACGATTTCTGAATAAGTAATAAATTACACTTCTCACTCACTTGACACTTTAATCCCTTAGTAACCCAGCTTTCCTCAGCCTCACTTTCTGATTGTCCTCAACGACGTTGGCCGTATGATCTCTCATCCTAAGTGATGGCGAGTGCACTCATTATATTACAATGTTACCGAGTATAAAACCCATATTTTTTTATATTATATGTACTTGTTAATAGTTTTCTAGCTTAATGTTTTACGATGTAGATTTTTTTTCTGTCGTAGGTTTGGCGCAGATTGGACAGCGTATTTGTTGTGAACGTGAACCGGAAACATTGTGGTGTAAGTGTACAACTTTTTTGTACTTTTAATGAAACTCGATAATTTCGTAATCTAATATTAAAATCAATATTAAACTATTAATAGGTATTAGAAGGCAATAAAAGTGAAAGTTACGTCGACACGTTCATTTTGTCTAAATGGAATGAATTGATATTCATAAGGGCATTTTATTCACCGGTGACCCAGTTTTCTTTATAATTCAAGAATACGATGAACTTCGAATTTAAGTGATAAATCTACATAAACATAATATCTGGAAAAATTAGTAAAAAACGACGATTTAGTTCATGAAAGATTCATTAATCAATCGTAATTTACTCAGCCATGATGGAACCAGAGTAGTGATTAATTATATCAAATAATTTTTGGTATTTGAATCAGTTTTGAATTGTTCGAAGGTAAATAGAATTAATATCAATATTATATTGCCTTTTTCCGTGAAGTTAACCATTTTTAATTTTTTAAAATAGTTAATATAATAATAGCCTTTTTTAATTTCACATTAACCATTTCTCCAAAACTACAGAAAAAATAGAAATGAAATGTAAGCACGTAAAATAACATTCATGTATAGTAGAGTATTTTATATAAAATAATTGGGCAATAATAATTTTTGAAAACTAGTGAAAAATAAAAATTATATAAATTAAAGATAAAAACAAATCTTCTTCTCCTATCTTGAGAAAAAAAGTTGTAATCTAAAATACAACAGGAAAATTTATTACAATTAAAATTGAAAATTGTATAAAATGAAATATTTAAAAAAATATTGTTTTGAGTTCTGTACAATAATCTTTTGTTATTGAAGTATGGTTTTGATTTTCTCTCTAGTGTAGAGATTTGTTAAAGGTTTTTTCCGACAAATCCTTCATTTTAATTTCAAATTAACTTATTTTACCTTCACATTAACTCTTTTTAATGTTAATTATTATTTCAATTAATTATTCTTTTTACGTAAGGTCTTGGTTGAGATAAAAAAGTTAGAGTCACTAGTGGGATTCGATCCCAAGACCTTCGGCTCGATAGATACGCCGCTGCCCTTAGCCACTTCAGCTATCGTGATAAGTGGCCAAGAGCAGGGGCGTGTTGCGTCGAAGGTCGTGGGTTCGAATCCCACTAGTGACACTAACGTTTTCATCTCAACCAAGACCTTACATAAAAAGTATAATTAATTGAAATAAGTAATTTGGTAATTACACCACTAAACATAAATGGATTATTAGTTAATTATTACAAATATTATTAATATATTTGAATGATTAAAAAATGAACCCAACTAAAATATATAAATAGGTTTATATAGAATCAAAAGGAGAATCCTTCATTTTAATATTTTCATATGGTTTTAAGATCCAAAAATATTTAAACCACTCAAATTAAAAGAAGAATAATTTATTTTATATTTAATTTTGTATACTTTTAAATTTTAATTAAATTCTAAGTTCTAATGATATTCTAAGTGCTCAATTGAAATAAATGTATGATATAAAAAAAAATCGACAACTGAACAGGCATTTTACATTACATTCATACCATCTCCTAGGTTTTCATTGTTTTAAAGAAAGGATTATTTTTATAATAAAAACGGTTAATTTGAAAGTAAAAAGGTTAATTTTGTAATTCAAAAGGAATCATTTGAATGAAAATAGGTTAATTTAACCTTAAAATTGTTAATTTATCGGCCAAAAAAAGGCTGCTTTGAAATTAAAAATGGCTATTTGAAAGTAACAAAAAAGGTAAGTGGACTTTGAGAAGGGTTAATTTGAAATTAACTAATGTCAATTTGAAGTTAAAAATGGTTCATTGGAAGATAAAAGAGGTTAGTTGTAAGTTAAAAAAGATTTAATTAAAAATTAAAAACAGAGTTAATTTGAAATTAAAAAGGTTAATTTGAAGTCTAAAAAATTTAATTCAAATTAAAAAGGGTTAATTTGATTAGAAAAACGGTTATTTTGACAGAAAAACGCTACAATTATAGGATCCACTCTTAGAAAGCTGCTTCTGGGGGGAAAAAAATCTAAGCAAACCTTCTTGTTCTCGTATGCATTTAGGTATTTATGGTGGTATCTCCGACTTAGTGAAGCATTGAGCATTTGAGTGCAATATGATGTTGCTTAAATGCCATTTGTGTAATAATATTTTTGAAAACAAATGTTTAAAATTTATTGGCCTGTAAGTCACCTCTGCTACAAATCGGTGTTTTTATCTCAAATTTGCTCGTATTTTTCAACTAATTTTTGTCTGCTTCTTAATTAGGGACAGCACTTGTTTTTCTTAAATCCAGAGTATTCAATCCTCTTGGGTGGCCGCGGTCGGCGAGTGGTTAAGGCGCTAGACTCTCGGCTAGTAGATCCCGCGGTCGTGGGTTCGATCCCCACCGTCGCCTCTGGACTTTTTCTGACGCCTAAGGGGACCGGCCGGTGGCCGCAATTGAAAGAAATTGACACGGCATTTCAATGGAAGCAGCGGAATCAGATCTCAGCGACCCTGAATTTGGTCGAACCCCCTTCAAAAATGATGGATGGGTTCGATGGAAGAACACCGGCACACCGGGAGCTCAAATTCACACTTGTGTTGCGAGCCCCCCCAAAAATGGAGCCAGGGATAAAGTACAATAAGATGTACAGCTGCAGTGCTCAGGAGGGAACTCCTCCAGTTCCTGGTATCCTTTGTAAAAAAAAAAAAAAAAATCAATCCTCTTGTTGTTTTTGGGCGAAGAACGTTACTCCGTTCTGGGACATCAAGATCCGTCAATTCTTTATCGATCGACCTTCGTCGTAAGCACCGTTATTAGGGTAATAAGTTACCCAAGGTCTTGAACAGTTTGGGGCCCCATGGTACGAAATGATAAATACCCGGCACCGCTTAAAAATCTGCCAGATTGACAGATAGTGAAACCTTTCTCCCCGGGATACACGTTTCCTTTTCTATCGATCACTATCGTATGAATTTCTACTGATTGAACCGGTTTTAAGCAATGTTATGAAAGAGTTGAAAAAACCCACAGATTTTATGTTTTTATGAAGCCTTGAAAGGCCAAAGGTTTCCTAATTGATGGTTTAGCCTCTAACCTAGTCATGACCCTTGATGGTGAATCCCAGCCTTCCCCCAAAACAAATTAACCTCTAGAAATTATAATCATTATGTCAATTTTTAGAGAAAAGTTTTTGAAATCATCAGCTGTTTGAATAAAATTACAAAGCGATATAATAAGATAATAAAAATGAGCTTCTTTCAATTTTTTTCTTAACCAGTCAACCATGGTTTACTTTGAAATTGGTTTTTTGAGTAGTGCTAATTTATCACGTTTATAAGTCTGAAAGTATTCCAAGTATAGACCCATTACCTATAACTAGGACAACCAGGTTATCCATACCTTCATCTCAGAATGTGTCCACACAAAACAATGGAGAAGTGGACAAAGCCTAGAAGTGCCAGGCGCAGTAAACTCGTGGTTAAAGAACCCTCGACAAAACTAGCAAACACTGCTACATCTACGCACTGTAAAACTAACACATAGGGCTATTCGCAGGTCCCTGGTATCTGAGAAAACTCCTCACAGCATGGGTATATTTAATGATAACCTCATTATAATTCTGAAAGTAGTCCAAGTATAGGCCCAGTATCTATAATTGGGATAACCAGGTCATATATAGACTCCTTCATCTCCGAACTCTAGATCCAAACAAAACAAATGGAGAAGTGGACAAAGCCTAGAGGTGCCAGAAACAAGTTTCATGGTTAAGGAACTAGGTGAAGTACAATAAGCCAAAAGGCGTAGTGCTTTGGATCAAGCTCTCACTTCCTTGTATACTCATCATCATCACTAATTGTCACCCGTTCTCTTTTGTAACGAATTTTATATTATCAGTACAGAGTATCTTCCAGCGCGTTTGAATTTGGCAGCAGGGCAAAATAAACCCTGGAATTATAACACGACATCCTGGTCGTTTTCAAAAGAGCTATTGATCCCGGGTGTCCGGGTAATAAGCAGGGTGAGGCAAGTGTGTCTCTGTTTTAAACATTAACGACTAGTTGTAGTACGATTTTCTTAATTCTTAATGAGCACAGCAGGGTTTTAGGCAACTAAGATCTGAAACAAGCTCCACAATGCCACCTTAAAATATGACTTTTTATTTCTTTTACTGTTGATTCGAATCGATCATTTATTGGGGAGGAATTGTGTAGACCGCTGTAGTTCTGTCGTTTCCGATCATCTTGGTCCGCCTATCCTCGCTCATTTGGTCTGGTTTTCGGCAAAAACCCGCACTGAAGTCGGCAAAACGCAGATTCGTGTCTGAATGACCGAAACAAAGAGGCAGACATTCTAGGGTGATCGGAAACAAACAGACTATAAGATTTTATAAGATGTGAAAGTTGGTTACCAAACTAGCTCTCGGATAATTCAGCATTATCAATTACTCAAGAACAAAGGTTTGAAGATAAATATTCGATTTTAAACTACTTTCAAACACTGTCTTTTAGCCTTAATGCACCTATTAGTGGATAGAGTCTTAGTTTGATTTTGAGTGAAATTGTTTTATTATATTGTGCAGTTAACGTGCAAAATTGTATGGAATTATTCATTTAGTAGATAAGAGGTTTTTGATACTCCTACGTCGATATTTTAGCCACGTCGGGTAATTTTATCTCTAGCCATTGTTTCTGTTTCCGTTGCTGGTCGTTTCCTGTTTTCTTTGTGTATGAGTCAGAAAAGCCAAATCATATTTCGTACATTCTCAGCTCAACTGCGTGTTAATTGTGTTGAAATTATCGTGCTTTGTATGCGGAAATGTTTTTCAGAAAGGAGGATGAGATAACTGGATGGACACCGTGAATGGTTTCCTGCCTGTTTTTTTCCTTCTGATGTGTTATATCTGCATCATATTGCGGTTTATAACAAGAAGAAGTGATTAAAAAGTTGGTCATTTCTTTCTATATGGACTGACGCCCGGTTGGGATTGAAGTGAAGACATGATTTTGATGTAATAACTGAACCT